ATGTCACACTGGAAGTTGTAACCTGGAAAATACCCAATTATGACTGCAGAAATTTCTCTGCAAATAGAGTTTACAGATTGAAAATATACCGCTACACCAAAGAAAAGCAGGAATGTGTTCCATACAAATATATTGTTATATCAGCGTTCACCCTTAATGAATGCATACTGTTCGATATAAGTAGTGCAAAATTGAAAAGAAGCCATGAAAATCGACGAGTTTTCTTTCTTGGAGCATAAAAGGTGTAATGAACCTTTAAACAGGAAAATGCCTAAGAATGTTGTTGTTATCTCCTACAAGACAATGTTCTCTCTTACCAAGCTTCAGTACTCTTGTTGAATGCAATATGCAGGTTAAGCAGTCATCCAATACATCCGGAGCATCTTCATATAACTTTATCAGATCAAGTATATAAACCTTGTTGTCAGAAGCAATCTGCATGATAGAAACCTGTTGCAGGGGGAAATAGAAAAGCTATTATACTGTTGAACGTGCATTTTCTTCACTCCAAAGGAGTCAGTCATTTTTAACGTATTCTCTATCATGCCTAACAACAAGGACACTCAAGTTAAAGATTATAAAGTTTGTCGTCTCTAAATGAAGGGAAAGAATGCAATAAACGACTAGATTGAGAAGTGTTGAAATTTTGTTGCTTTCAGTTACTGCAGTAACTTTTTTAGCATAATAAGTTACTTAGTTTTAGGATAAATCTACTTTTTGAATTTAATTTTTTGTTAGATTTTTTAGGTTTGTTGAGATATTTTGGGGTTTTTAAATTCTGCAGATTATGTTCCTAATTGGCTATTTAAAGCCTTGTTATGCTTAATAAAATTATTGAGAGACATTTTCAATCAATATTTTTAATATTTTTGCTGCCCCATCTTTTAAAAAACCAACAGTGGTATCAAGAGCTTCATTGGTCTTACAGATCTGTGAGTTCTTCCAAAGAACCATTTTCAAATCATTTTTAACCAATATCAATTTTTAAACCCATTTTCAAACATGGCAAGCATCAGTCTCTCTTTGAATGCTCCACAAACTTTCACCGGCGAAAACTATCGGATTTGCTCAGTGAAAATAAAATCATATCTTAAAACCTATGATTTGTTGAATGTTATAGTGGAAAAACAATCCTTACGAGCAATCCCTGAAAATTCTATCATTGTCCAGAATCAAATACTTTCAAAAGAGAATTCAGATAAGACGGGGTCACTAAGGGTGTTTTTTATGCACAAAACAATAAGACAAAAAGAAAGAAGAAAAGAAGAAAAAAAACTGCACTACAAAAGTGTGCAATTTCAGCGATACTCAAAACAATCTTCAAGCACAAACAACATAAGCAAGAATTGAGGAGGAGCAACATTTTAAATTGCAGCAACTGAAGCAAAGGAAGAGTATTGAAATTTTGTTGCTTTCAGTTACTGCAGTAACTTTTTTAGCATAATAAGTTACTTAGTTAGATTTTTTAGGTTTGAGATATTTTGGGTTTTTTAAATTCTTCTTATGCAGATTTTTCTGCAGATTATGTTCCTAATTGGCTATTTAAAGCCTTGTTATGCTTAATAAAATTATTGAGAGACATTTTTCAATCAATATTTTTAATATTTTTGCTGCCCTATCTTTTAAAAAACCAACAAGAAGACATTGATGGAGAACATCATATCTTTACCACCCATCGCAAAAGGCGAATATCCTATAGCTCCAAAATTCTCACTATCATATTCAAAAAAAGCAGATACAATACACAAAAAAGCATTGAAAGCCTAATCACTAGACGTACCCCTTTATTCATCATGAGAGACACAAAACACTGGAACTTTCACTCATATTTTCATATTAGCAAGGGGTAGTTAAATCAGTTCAATGGAAAACTCGGAACCTTCTATTACCTAGACAAAATAAAGAGATGGATGAATCACCAAATTATGTACTCTGCCTGATTCCAGAGGGAGAGAAATTAAACAAAAAAGGGACCAGGAAACTTAGCCCAGAACCTTTTCATGACCCATAATTAATAATGACATTAGATCCTTATGAGTAAATAATAGATTAGAACAAAACGGGATTTACTCACATGCATTCTTCTTTTGTCACACGAGCGAACCATGAAACGCAACTTATTATGAATTGGTCTTTGGACTTCTAGGCTCATTTTCTTATCAGCCCCGAGGGGGGAAGAGCACAGAGAAGCGAAGTCCATTATGTTTCAGGGAAGAAGTAACTACTTTGTTGTGGTACTTTAGTTAGGAAGGTATGTATCAACATAAATATCTTCACTTTGCCTGGATAGATTAAGCTGATTCTGGTGTAGTCCAAGATATTTCATCAGTCATACATTTAGATCCCTCTTTAGATTGTGAGAAAGAAGGGGAACCTTGGCGTAACTGGTAAAGTTGCTACCATATGACCAGGAGGTCACGGGTTCGAGCCGTGGAAACAGGCTCTTGAAGAAATGCACGGTAAAGTTGCGTACAATACACCCTTGTGGTCTGTTCCTTCCCCGGACCGCGCATAGCGGGAGCTTAGTGCACCGGGCTTCCCTGCCCTTTTTAGATTGTGAGAAACGAGGAATCAAACTTTTTTTACCACCACCCTTTTAAAAATAAAATAGCTTGATATTGAGTTGGTAAGGACCACTACTTAAAAAAAGTACTCAGCTTTTATCCAAAATCACCTTGTTAGATGAGCTTCCCTTTTCGTAATTAGGCTTCCACTCACAATCAATGCCCACAACTTTACATTCTTCAATGTGGCATGTAGCATCATGCAAGCCATTCACTTCATCTACCCAGACTACTTCCTTTATTGACAATTCATCAAGCTGCAAGTATCGGTCTTTCGGAAAATTTGCCTCAAGCGCTGTACAAGTAAGAATAAGGTAGGAGTTAGACAAAACGATAATTTACTCGGAGCTGGCAACTTTGAAATAAACCACAAGCCAACATCCAGAAATAATTAAAAGGAAAAAAGGAATCAACCAAGTCCAGAAACATAATAGGCAGCATCTATCTTTATTAAATGAAAGCCTAAGGGGTAGTTTGGTACGGGGATAAGGTAAGGGATTAAATTTATACCAAACATGGTATAAATTTAATCCTAGACTTAATACTGGATATCCCACCTTATCCCCCTTATCCCACACCTTATCCCATCAAACTTGGGATAACTTAGTCCGCTTACCAAACGACCCCTAAGGGAATTATACTGGAAACAACTCAGAAGAACTCAGAAATAGTGCATATGAATATATGTCTATGAAAGGTTCTTAAACTCGGACACTCAACATCTTCATAGAGAAGATGTTAGACATTCATTCTTGTAGCACATGTCTCAGCTACTAGTGGGTATATCTCGGGCTCCATCTCTTTTGTAAAATTAAAAGGCAAGAATATAAGTTAGAATAACTCTTTTGCTTAGCCGGAGCTATTACATCTTTCAAATCTTAGTCCCACTTCTCTAGATCTGAAAAACCACTTCCAATTGATTATCCATCCTCTTGGCGAAAGGTTTCTCAGATTCATGGATATCAGGTCCTTCACAATCAATTGGTTGCCTAGCTATGAAGTCAAAAGTTAAAGGTTTAAATCCATTATGGATATGAAACTGATAGATCCATATGCAAAGTCAAAAATTTCCAGAATCAACCAGAATGACTTCTCAAACAACAATAAAATGAAATCACTTAGTTGTACATTTGAACGAGTACTCATGGATCTGCAACCTCTTAAATCACTTTCTTGGTTGAACAGCTAGTAAATTTCATATGTGTCATTTAAGTCGCATCATTTCAGAATAACCATACTCGGGTGGACCCCCTCAACATAGTCGATAACAAAAGCATACACTTTGTACCAAGAGAATCTCAGCAAAGATCTAATGCAAGGTTGCAGCAGAAGAAAGCATAGTCAAAGGCAACCTTAACAGACTCAAATTTGCTCTAGTTCATATTGATTCAACATTTATGCAGATTAATACTTTTTGGAGAGGTCAGCAAATAAAGCTCATTAGTGTTTAGATTTAAAAACTTAAAAAGTGCTTAGACTGGTTGCTTAACAAAAAATAGAGGGATCCAGTGTACCTTTGGCATTTATGAAACCTTCAAGGGAATACCGTTCACAGAGTTCCTCAACCTTCTCCATGTAACCAGCTTCCATAGCCAAATAAACCTTTTTCATGAAAAATTTATTAAAAACGATAAAAAGCCAACACATATAAGTTTTTACTCAAGTGATATTGCACATTCACATATTGCAAAGTCACTAGGTACTTTTAACGGGTCTCACATGAACATTAATCTCCGAGTGTCAGCCCAACAACAAAAGAATTCAAATTCTAAGGAATAAGTTCAACATCTAAAGGCTATATAGGTACGATAGGACGGTGCGGTTAAGCAGGTAAGCGAAGGCTCTCTCTCTCTCTCTCCCCCTCTCTCTCTCGCTCTGTGGTCTTGTGTAAAGCCTTTCTGCCTATCTGTTATTTTTTTAGTCTTTATTCAAAGTAAGAAGATCGAAAGCACGAAAAGAAATGTCTTAGCATGCCCTCACTCTAATTCAAAATCCATCTCTTTTTCATCAGATTACAAGAAACTGATCAGGACTAATATACTTATGAGATGAATCTGACGCTTAAATGTCAGGCTCTATGTGTAGCACTTCTCAAGACTACTAACAAGTAATCTTGACAACGAATTCAACAGCACAAGAATAAAGCTAGCAATTGACAACAAATGTAATAGCACTAAAATGAATTAGAAATTGACAAAAGTCATTGTAGCTGTGTACTTGCCAAGTACTCAAGAAGTTGTGGATCATCTTTCACTCTCGCCTCAGCAACGNACTCCTTCCGAAGATTGTGTTGCCTTATAACATCAAAAGCATGCTTTGGCAGTTTTCTGTCAACGTATTCTTGGACAAGGGTACACAAGATTGGCTTCCCCATAAAAGTTGCCCACTTTTCTGCCGCTCTGTATTGTTTGCTTTCCATCATTTTAAGTAGAAAAGATTCCCCAGATTCCCGGATAGAAAAGTGCTCCAACAAAGAAACTGCGGTCATGTATGACTGGGATTCTACTAACCTAAGAATATATTGTTCAACCAATACCTTAGCCATCTCATGGCATGTTTGATCCTTCTCATCTGTATCATACATAGCTTTTTCTATGTTTGACAGACTGACATCAAAAAGTTCAAGGATTTTGACTAGGATTCTTTCATCATGAACCAGAGTGCCATTAACAATAGCCAGAAACAATTTGGCAGCAAATAGTTTAGCTTTCAATATACCTTTCATGCCATTTCCCACTTTCAGGAAACGATGAAGAGCAGATATTATCAAATGACTGAATCCATCACAGTGTGACTCAAATATAGGCAACACGTACAGGCACTGAGCAACAAAGATGGCTGCTCCGGGCCGAGGATCATTGTACAGAGATTCAAACACTTGCTGTTGCAGAACACGAAACTTGGCAGTCGCCTTGCAGGTTCCTATGTAAAACAATAACTTGTGTGAGAAAAAATATCATGATCAAATATTATCAAATTGAGCTACACTGTAATCATCCATAGAAGAAAACAAAAATGACTTCGAGATATCGCTCCATTTATTGCCCTAAAATCTTGCTTTGGGTTTAGGAAATAAAGCTTAAGATATTTCTAACAATATGGCAACGAATGACTAGTCAATGTTTATTAATGAAAGAATTAAGCCAGTGTCTCTACCCACCGAAGACACCCCATGAAATATTACTTAATATGTTGACTGGCATGTCTGTTTTGTACCATATTGGTGGGAAAAAATAACTGACTTGCGTGTAGCTTTTGTTCTCTTGCAACACAAACCTGCTATTTCATCTCAAAAACTATTCTCATGAAAACACACAGAAGATAGTAATGGTACTCATCGACTCCTTTTTGCATGAATGGAAGGAGTACATAGAAGTCTTTTTGATATGTGGGAACAAAAATATCTTACCTAGATCTTCATACTTCATATTGCCAAAGGTGTTGAAGAATAAATAATTTTTTTTGTAGATTATCAAGTTCTACAGTTACATTATCTTTAATAGTCCACTTAAAATCATCATTGGCTCGAATGACACTGGAGTGGAAATGGTTAATTCAATATACACAGCTTCTTCTATCTATCTCCTATTATGTATCCACAACTTCTCCCATCTGTCATTTTCCATGTCATATGCATGATATCCCCAATGTTCTTTAGGCATGTGTCTATGGCACTTCGCATCAAGCCTCAATCATTCATGACATCGCTTGAAAGCAAAACACATTGTAACACAGTGGTCTGGCACAGTCGTTTTGCTGTATAAAGTGCCTACTGCATCACTTCAACCCCAAATGCAATTCTAACTAGTTAATACCAATCCAAGTTTAAATTATATTACCAATCCACATCATTAGGGTGGTTAAATCTACAAGGTGGACCAGTGGCTGATAAGCATATCTCACAGGGTATTTTAGACTACAACTTCAGAGAATGATGACAAAACTCATGGGTCAAGTTCGCTTCCTCTTCTTCCATTTTGGAGTCTGAAAGATTTGAATGGTTTTTGAGACTGTGTAGTTACTCAGGCATAGAAAAAATGTCATTGACAAGAGGAGCAGAGGTAGAATGACAATTCAACACTTCTTCATTCTTTACCATATCAGATTGTCGCCCATGTCCCTCGTTATGATTCAATTTCTTAAAAGAAGAAAGTCGCCTCAAAAGGGGAAAAAATATATTAAGCAGCCAACAAATGATTTGTCAACTCCTATATTAATTGATCATTATGTTGAAAAAGGTTCAATTGTCATGTGGTTAAGGAAAAAAAAAGAAATAACCAAAAGAATGATCGGATATTTAATTGCAAACAAAGTATTCAAAGAAAAGAGTTCCTAAAACTGATGGAATGATAACTTGGAGCAAGACAGCATCTTTTAAAAAGAGACAAAGTGTGGGAAAGAACTTTACCGTAGACATAGCATTCCTTTAAGAGGTAGAGAAAAACCACTGGAGAAACATTGGATAGATCACCGAAAGCATGTCTGGATACAGCCAAGGGATGTTGAACTTTATTTCGACTATGTAGGTGTAAAGGTTTTTCATTCAGACCCATGGTAGAAAGTTGAAGAAACCAGAAGTAGAAAAAACCTGCATTTTTTAATATGAAAGGACAGAATAAACATTCTCAAATATCATTGCAAGCTATAAGCTAGATGCCACAATGTCCCAATTCCTATAAACATAATTGCTTTTTTGCAAGAAGATGACTTTTGCATTAAAGAAAGTCTTGTAAAGCTATCAGTCAATGATGATGGAGGAGACAGGAACAAACAAAATGCAATCCAACAGAAACTGGCAATCCTTATGTAGAATGACCTTAAGGCAAGAGACCAACTCTTCAAATAATTGTGGACACTGAGGAAGGGTAAACAATCAAAATAATACATATATTGTAGTACATAACATGCAATACATTCGAACTTTCTGTACAGGAAAATTTGGGCAACCTAACGGCATTTCTGTTTTTGGTAAAGCAACATTTTTATTAATTTGGCAGGAAAGTTCCTGGTACGCTAGAAAATATATACAACATATATGATTCTCTATAAATATAACCTAATCAGGAATGCATAAGAAATTAACTAACAGGCCCTATCTGTACTAAAATCATTTCCAAACGCTAGTCAATTTTGCAGCAACATCGCCAAACCAAGGTCATATATCCACACCCTCTTCTTTTATTATAGTTTTTCTTTTTGGAGTTAAAACCAAGACTGTCACTAGTTAATCTCCCTAGCTCAAATTAAACTAAATTCTTGCATGAACCCCTGCAAGAAAGACAACAACAAGCACAAGTTTTGACAAACAAGACAAACAATAAATCTGTCATACTCATAATTGATCCACTAGGAGCACACAGTAATTTCTCCTAATTTTATTGAGCCTAGACTTTATTAAGTTTCAGAGTAAAAGCTTCAATATAATTAGAGTATATGGGTTAAAATAAAGGAGGAACATATTCAATGAACTCAGGTACGACTTTACAGTGTATGGTTAAGGGCCTTAATTGTTAACTGAGTACCTGGACTTGGGCATAGTAGCTGGAGTAGTGGATTTGCAAGCCTTGAGTTCGAGAGCTATATTATCAAATCAACAAAAGCATTTCATGGGAAACAAAGAGGATGAGAATAATAAATTGTCAGTCACATAGCAGAATTACACTACTTATGAACCAAAATTATCAAGCCACTTTTTGGGGTTAATAAGTATACTTAATGTACGGATATAGCTCCTCGGCACCAATGTTGATACTATGAGGAGAAAGATATAGGAGAGCTTTTGAGTAAGTGGAAAATACTTTTGCACAAACTACGGGCAAACTTTTTCTTTATTAAGCTTTTGGTGTACCCACGAGGTTCTAGTTAGAATGACTGATTGGGCGTTTTTTGTAGAGAACTATGTTTTAGTATATATTCTCCACTTTTCTGTACCACTTGTATACCAGAATATTTGCACCATATCAATGAACTATTATTATTAATTTTTTTTTTTTTAAAAACTAACCAATACCAATATTTTGCCTCATTGATTTCTCATCATACCTACTTCTAACTTTGGCTTTTCGCGGAATAAAGCTTTGGCCCTAGGGGATGGAACTGTAGTTTGCTTTCTGAACCTATGGGTTAACAAATATTGAAGGGACGCTTGACCTTTAAGGACACCCCTTTGTGTTTACTTGCATCACATTGTCTTTATTTGGTCTCTTAACCAATTACCCATCCTTATCTTTCTCCTTTTGTCTAATTGTTGTGAGTGCCAAAATTAGGTTTGAGACGGGGAATGGTGAAACAATCAGATTGTCACAAGACCTCTGGATTGGTACTGATACCCTTAGAGAGGAACTTCCAAGTATCTATCGGATTGCCTCATTTCTCGATGCCATGATTGCAGAACATAGAAGTAATAACTATTGAAACATACAACTCAGAAGAAATTTTCAAGACTAGGGGTTAGAGTCTCTAATGGCCTGAATGAACATGCTGGAACAAGCTAATATCAATTCTCAAAGAGAGGATAAAAATAAAATGGGCAATTGACTGCAGCGGAGTGTTCTTAGTCAAGACAGGATACGACGTGTTGGTAAAAACTGGTTATATAATTGAAACGTGGCCACGAAAGTTGATATGGAGCACTACCTACAAAAGTGGCCTGTTTTAGCTGGATATTGATGCACGAAGCGTGTTTACTCAGAATATCTGATGACGAGGGACTTTTTTTATTATTATATTAGGGAAAGGGGCGCGGGAAAGAGGTAGGGGATGTTACGCTACTAATGGGGTTTGAACCCTCCACCTCAAATGGGGAAGACAGGGAGCTCACCAAATGAGCTAACTGGGGGTTCAAGCTTTGCAATAGATGTTTTTTATGCCGGTAGCCATGGAGGAATCCATACACCAGATCCTACACTGTCAAGTTGCTAGAGAAGTCTAGGACATGTTCCTGATTCTTTTTGGTTTGCAGTGGATAATGCCACACAGCTTGAAGGATGCGTTTATCAGCTGGTGTCAGAAAGTGCAGAAATCAAGAAGACGACTAAGGCAATCTAAACCAGGCTGTATTGTTTGGACATTATAGAGGGCAAGGAAACGAAGATGCTTTGAGGGAGTTTCAGTTGCTATTCCTTCCATAAAAACTAGATGTTTAATGAACTTGTTTTGTTGGAGCAGTCATTGTGATGTAAATGATGTAAATCAATTTTTTAAATTTGTTGGCTCTTTAAGTTTTCTATAGGAGTTAAACCTGACTTTGTATATTGCATCCCCTTGATGCATCGTATCAATGAAACTTATTTTTACTTGATTAAAAAAGTTCCCTTTTTGGCCCGCCTCAAACCAATCAAGAGCAATCTTCTGTTTCTAAGGTACCTTTCTCAAATAAGTTTAGGAAGAACAAGAGGGTGACCTAACGGTCAAAGAGGTAGAATGACAACAATGAAAAGCAAGGTTCGAATCTCAACAGAAGGTAACACTAAGTAATTCTTCTCATCTGCCTAAGTTATGACGAGCAGGTTGTCGATATTTGTAGTGGGAGGTAGCAAGTGCTCGATGGATTAGTTAGAGGTTCAACATATCTTGTCCCAGAAACCACAATATATATTTTTTATAACCGAGAAATGCATGCAGTTGAAACTCGGTAGATGATGGGTCTACTCTACCTTTTTCACTTGAATACTAGGCTTTCGTCTGCGGCAAGGTTCCAACCCATGATGTGCATCTAACTCACACACATCCGATAAACCACAACAACAACAACAAACCCAGTGAGTTCCAATAAGTAGGGTCTGGGGCGATAGTGTGTACGCGGACCTTACCCCTACCCTGGGAGGAGAGAGAGGTTGTTTCAGATAAACCCTCGACTAGAGAGTGACATCCGATAAACCACATCATATGTTTATTAAAAAAATGTTTGGAAGGAAGGTTGCTAGGCAGTTAGGGTGAGAGCAACACTAAAGGTGGAAGCATGGCTCTTCCATTGTCCATATTTGTTCTTTTGGCTTTTCCCTTTTCCTTCATCTTATGGGAAGGTCGCTAGGTAGTTGGGGTGGAGCATGAATTTTGAGTAAGAGAAAGTGACTTTGGAGATGGGAGCACGGGTTTTCTTTCTCCTTTTGTTCTTTAGGCTTTTACATTTTCCTTTATGTTATGGTTTGTTAACTCTTTAGTGATAAAATTAATAAAAGGGCCTCTTGGGTGATAAAATTAGTCAAAGAGGAAGGTGGTTTAGAAAAGATTTTGACAGGAAGTGCTTGGTAGAGAAAGAAACCAACCTTAAAGGGTAGAAACCACTTAAAGTGTTTCAGTGCATTTTATGCTTCAACATATGTAAAAAGGGAAAGATACCAACCTTTCTATGCTTTCTAGAAGCATCATGGTGAGGATTCATTTTGCAAGGCAAGAAAGCACACGGAGTGGACCAAAGAAGACACTTCATCATCCTTCCATGCCAAAACCCATGAATAGTGAACCTTGTGCATCTTTACAAAGTTTAACGGATATTTTAGCATTTGTTGCATAAAAAAATGACTGGAATTTTCTGAATCAATTGCTGCATCTCCCAAATTTAACTCTAGATAAATTTAGTGTTGTGCTGCATATTCAAATTTTTAATGCTAGACAAACTTAGTACTGTATACCTTATACAAAAAAAAAAAGGAAAGATAGTTCTGTCTTTGAAGTTTTATCCTACCGAAAAATTCAATAAGAGGAGCCATTTGACTGTATTATCTTCTATTTTCTTTTTTCCTTTTTGGTTTTTGATAATTACAGTGGACTGAGTACTGATCGAGGAAAAACACGGCGGAGTGTTTTTCTTTTCAAACGATTACATCATGCTGTAATAAACCACACCTAGAAGTTCATTGTGTTTCTCTTTCAACCCTTTCATGCCTAGTGGTAAGTTAATTTCATATATCAGTGTATATAAGAAATATACATTTGGTAACTTAAGAATATGGGTATAAGGATCTAAGGGAACAATGATTCTGGATATCCTTGCTTTGGTTCTATAAGACGAAATTGTTGGAATTACATGGTATGCACTACATTGACCTTTTCTCTTCATGCTGACATGGAAGAATTCACTCAAACCTAATGATAAATATTAGGTGAAATTGACAAATATCATAGATGTGCAAGTTTTGCAGAACTAGTAACTGCCTTTTTAATTTTCTTTTATTTACAAGTAACAGCCTCTTTAGGTGAAAAAGACCCTAAGTTATCAGTGTTTTGGTAATCTAATATCTAGAATGTACCCTTGCTCAATTAAAGATGCTTTAGATCAGTTTAGACAGATTCGTGCTGACCTCCTACCTGACGCATCCAATGAAGAAAAACCTTTCTTACCACTCCTAAAAACACATAGGACTTCGAAGATCTTATATATGAGGGCGAAAGTTTCACCATCATAAGCATTATTATTCTAGCAACCAGTCTATTGTATGCAACAGTACCTCAGCAAGAAATTCTGCAAACCATTGTATGTACCAGGATATAGGACTTATTAAAGCATGATTACAGGGCACATTGCCCGCTCAAGATAATTTTGCTTCTTCAAATCGACAAAAATGAAATAAGTGGTAGTAAAAGAAGTTTTCCCAAGTTAGACAGAACCTATCAGTAGTAATGCTCCCTGGTTCAGAAATCTTAATTAGGAATTAGTTAAATTAAATGTAAGAGATCAAGATGCTCCTTTATTCACAAGTGTCATCAAAGGGCAGCCAGAAAAGATGCTTCAAGATCAAACTTAAAGGCTTCAAAATTTAAAACTATGCTTCAATGCTTTTGTTTAAATTGATTCTTCAACAATAAAGAGGGGGATCCTTAATGTGAGAGTTAGCACGGGAAAAGAATATTATTGATATTATATTCACGATATAATACAAGAAGTCCTATTTATAGCTATACTCTACATAGTACATATTACTCCTATTCCAATGTGGGACTAAACATACTTATATACATAACTATGTAACACTTAAAACGTTAACAAAGATATANCCCCCACCCCACCTCAAAAAAAAGGAAAAAACAAGGGAACCTTTGCCACCGCTCAAGATATCACAGAAGGTAACAGCATCAGCAACAATGTTATACTGCCAAAGGAAAGCATGAAACTAGAATGTGATAAATAGCAGCACAACAAGAGAAATGGAACTAAGGAGGCAAGTATTAGTATTATTTGAACTTCAAGGTGGTGCAGTAAAACCTTTAGACCTACTATGGAACCAAGATTTCACTAAAGCAAAGAGACACATATCCATGAAATTGCTTTTATTATGTCTGGAAGTGTAAGAAAAGGATATATGAGATAATGGTAGGGAAAGTTCTAGTTATGTTTGAGGAAAATGTTCGGACAAGCGTGAGGATATTGGACAAAATTGATCTCACCGCTCTCCTTCTCTTTCTTTCACCTCCCAGTTGGTGCTCAAAACTTGGACAGTTTTACATACAGTTTCACTCTTCATCTCTTATTACCTACAACTCAGCCAATGATAATAAAGATTACGCAAGTTATAACTCCCATTTTTTCTCTTCACCATACCTCATCCAATTGCTAATAGCATAAAGAAGGTGTACCTTAACATTCTTTCCTTAAATTCCCAATTGGTACCTAACATCTAGAGAGTTCTATTTTGCCTTTTTGTTTTTCTTTTTTCTTTGACTCTCTTCTTTGCTTCCTTTACCTGTCTTGAACTGGAGAAGCTAACCAAGTAGACGAGTATAAATTCAACATTAAATTCAATCAATTTTATCTAGATAAGCTCATTTTCTGGAACTGGTCTAGTGAGGCACTTCCCCTACGTTGTTTCCCCAAATCATCCTACAGTGGAAACCATTTCCAATAAATTATTTTTCTTTCTTCTGACTTCTCTTTTCCTAACAGTTTTAAGATCCAAACTTGGATCAGTAAAGAACAAAAATCAAACTATCAGTTAACAACATCAATCGAGGTAAAACTCATACACACATATTTAATCGTCGCAGGAGAGAGTTTGCACATACTAATCAAGCATTGAAGCAGAGCTTAACTTTTTGTACTATACAAGTCAATCAATGAAACAGTTCTAAGAAAAATCTCTCCATACAAACCACTCACAAATCGAACAAGAGAAGAAGAAATAAATAAAAACAACAGACACAATTTCAACATTTGTTTTTTTTTTTAAAAGCAATCACATCGATGAAACTAATCATGACTCACCGGTTCTTGAATTCTCGTTTAACCAACAAGCAGAAAACGAACCTACACTCTCACCAAAACGAGCCTTTTGTCGTTCGTCTCAGCAATGCTTCAATAGCAATCTCCACTGCGGCCAAAATTATTATAAATACGAAAGTTGCACTGTCTCATAGAGTACTCAATAACATGCAACAAACAAAGTCCAGTAACTTTACCGTGATTTCTCTTTCTTTCTACGGCCACGGCCACATAATAAGAACAATGTCGGTGTATTTTTCCAAAAAGAAAAAGTCAATTTAAGGTTTTGTAACTTTTCTTCAATGGAATTGAATGCTATAAAGTACTAGGGAATAAATATCAGAAAAAAGCCCTAGGCAAAAGGCGCAATGAAGATAAATAGAATGGAAGAGAAGAAAGGTAAAGCTTTTGTTTGCTAAAAATGGTAGAGGACAAATGTGTGTGTTTACTCTCTTTCTTCCATCTGTGGTTTATTGTTAGTTTTTGTTTCAGTCTCTGTCTCTGACTGCTGCGCTATTATGCGCAGGGTACGTGACTGTACTGAACGTGAGGTACAACTAATAGGTAAGGATGAAAGAGGGGGTTATTTTGGACTTTTTACCTTCTCTCCTTCCCGATAAGGTCTACGTGTCTTTTTTAATGACGTGTTATGTTGGTTCGAAACCAACCGGATCATCGACCGTTATTTGAATAGTATTTTTTTAAACAGTTCTTTGATTTCGCCCCTTGAATATTTTTCAAAGAAAAAATTCACTCATTTTTCAGATCTTTCAAAGAAAATTTGAAATATTTCTTAAATCCCATTAAAAGTCTTTGGGTGGGTGACAATTATCTGAGGATAAGACCACTATGCTGTTTTAGAACATAAGGAGTATTAAAGAATGTATAAAATAATATTTGTTGGAGTAGTAACATTAGTGGCCGTCCCAAGATAGAAAGAATGTCATTTGAATTGGCATGGAGTAATTAATTTTGAAGATAAAGTTAGGGATAACTAATTTTTTTTTTTATTTTCTGGACATTAATGATTACTTTTTCAAAAAAGAAATATATGTAAATTCCAGATTTACTAACTCTTTGTTAAATAATTTGACTAATATTCCGGGAGATTTAATACAAAACTTTCTTTCAAGAATATGCTAATTATCCCTTTTTACCAAAGGTAAGAAACAACTCTTTAGCCCTATTGTACTCGGTTGAGACTTGAGAGGCTTCCAAATCATATGGTTTAGTAGGCGTTTGGACATTAAAAAAATGTAATTTTGAAAAAGTAATATTTGGAGTTAAGTTAAAAAATGATATTTGAAATTAAAATTATATTTGGACATACATTTCAATATTATAGTTTCGTGAGTAGGGAATTTGAAAAACTCATCTTCAAAATATTTACAAAAGTTTCCAAAAATTTATAAATTTTCATGGACAAACACATTTTTGAAAGAAAAAAAATTTAAAAAAAAGAAAAAAAAATTATGAACAAACGGGCCTTAAAAAAGTGTTGATTCCAGACGTCTTTCTCGTAGTCTTTTCATCCCAAAGGTACAAAAGGAAAACAATTTCCTGGATAGTGCCTTTGGTGGCTGCAGACAAAATTGTTTGATCATACTCATTATTCATGCATGGAAAGAGGAGGACACTACATTTTGCCCTTACCACAATTAGAAAGGCTGCTTTTTCTTTCCGCTACTTTCAAGCTCTTCATTATTTCACAAAGCATTTTGAGGGTATATTCCAGCATTAGAATGTCATTAATAGTATTATTGACGTGACATTTTAACTAATTATAGTAGTATATTGCATGAGACAGAGCTAGAAGAATTCAGACAGAAGACTAACAGACTAAGATGGCTTTCATAATCACGTAAAGTCAAGAGCCTTTTTGTCTCAAAAGGAAAATGTTATTGAGGTTGATGTCTTTATCTGTTATTATCTTTTTCACAAGAAACATGTTAACTGTAATGATCCGACCGGTCGTTTTGAGTATTACAATTCTGTTTTTTTATTTACTACTCAATTTGTGCTTTTACAATTGTTATGGGACTTGTCGGGTTAATTGGTTCGGGTCCGGTGAACTTTTGAAATGAATTGAGACACTTAGTTTCTAAAATGAAAACTTAAGTTGAAAAGGTTGACCGGATGTTGGTTTATGTGTAAACGACCCCGAAATAGAATTTTGATTGTTCCAATAGCTCTGTATGATGATTTTGAACTTAGGAGCGTGTCCGAAAAATTATTTGAAAGTCCGTAGTTAAATTAGGCTTGAAATGGCTAAAATAGAAATTTAAGTTTGGAAGTTTGACCGGGGAGTTGACTTTTTGAGATCGGGGCTCCGATTCTGAAAATTGAAATGCCTCCGTTATGTCATTTATGACTTGTGTGCAAAATTTAAGGTCAATCGGACTTGATTTGATAGGTTTCGGCGTCGAATGTAGATGTTGGAATTTCCTAGTTCCATTAGGCTTGAATTGGGCTATGATTCATGGTTTTAGCATTGTTTGATGTGATTTGAGGTTTCGACTAAATTCGTATGATATTTTAGGACTTGTTGGTGTAATTGGTTGAGGTCCCGGGGGCCTTGGGTGAGTTTCAGATGGTTTAACGGATGAAATTTAGACTTGGAAGATGGCTAAAGCTGCATATTTCTGGTGTCTGGTTTCCTTCTTCGCGTTCGCGGTGGGGGTCACACATTCGCAAAGAACAATTAGAGAAAGGTGAAGACTAGTTCTTCGCGTTCACGGAGCAATGGACGCGTTCGCGAAGGGTGAGGGCCAGTGTGCATCGCGAATGCAAGAGAGGAGACGCGTTCGCGAAAAAGAGTGAGGGCTACGGTGGACTTCATGCATTGGGCTATGCGTTCGCGAGTGAGGCGTCGCGTTCGCGAAGGCTTGGGATCCCTGGTCATCGCGTTTGCGAGAGGACCCTCGCGTTCGCGAAGAGGAAAGTTTGGGCAGCACATTTTTGTGCTTCGCGAATGCGAGGCAGTCGCGTTCGCGAAGAAGGAATGCCTGGACAGAAAGTTTAAGCTCTAAATTTTTAGCGATTTGGAGCTCGGAAAAAGGCGATTTTCGGGAGATTTCAAGAAAAACAGCGGGGTAAGTGTTCTTAACCCAATTTTGATCAAATTACCTGAATCCATGGTTGTTTTTAACATTTGATTGGGGCCAAATTTGATTGGGGCCAAATACATAGACAACCACCTAAACTTGGCACCAATTTACACTTAAACACTTAAACTGAGACTTGTTCCTATTAGGCACTTAATCTATCTTCAAACTAACCTATTAGACACATTCAGCTTACGTGGCACAATGCGTGTACCACACTTCATATTCGAGCGTGAACAACCAGAATTTTTGCTTTTAGTGTTTTTTCCTCTCTTTTTCTTCTCTCTCCTCCACGATCTCTCAACCTTCCCCAATTTTTTCATAAACAACCATGAACCTTTTTGGTCCCCTTCAATCTTACTCCAACGCACAGGTGCCATGGTCCCTTTCTTCTCAACCTTATGTCTCTGTCTCCCTAAAGTTTCCACTACAAAATATAAATTCCTCTCTTTCTGTTTAACTCTCTCTATAGATCTTTGAGGACCTCATATAATTACAAAAAAGAAAAACGTATAGGCGCCTATTTCCCAATAATTTACTCTTTGTGCTATATGATGGACTTTGGAATAGAGAGCTACACCAACCCCACCGCCACCACTGCAACTGCCGACGGCAATTCCAATTATGATATTCCTCGGACGTTGTCGTCTTCCAGTGTTTATCAAACCCTTCTTCTTATTAAATTCGATGACTCACTTTGAAAATTCAGGCGACTAGGGAAATTGGACACCTCACATAAATTTTTAATTGTTATCGCCGTTATTTCTCCAACACCGTCAAACTCCTCTGTGACATGCTTTGTTTCAGTTCCATCATTGCCTCACCAACACCACCTTCTTTAACTCTCCGCCATCAAACACCGACCGTAAAAGCATTTGTCGTAGCCCTGAAATTTCCAGCACTTGTTTTGTTTCAGAGCAAGATAACTCTGAAATTTGCCGGAAATAGTGAGAGGGGGGAAGGGGGGTGCGACGACTGTTTTATTTGTTTCATTTTCTCAAAATCTTTTTTTAACTGAAAAGACACTTGGCATTTTTTATTCCTTATTCTATCATGTAGGAGCGTGTGAATTTCACGCAATGTATTTTGTGTACGGGTTAGTCACAAAGTGTTTAATAGGTATAGATTGACTTAAGTTAAAGTGTCTAATAGGAACAAGTCTCAGTTGAAGTGTTTAAGTAGAAATTTGTGCCAAGTTTAGGTGGTTGTCTATGTATTTGGCTTTTAATTGGTGAATTAATTTGGAAGATTTAGAAAACCCTCTTGGTTTAAATTAAAGATTTGAGGGTCGAGATGATGTCGGAATTTGGTAAAAATTTGTATGGCTGGACTCGTGGTTGAATGGGCGTTCATATTTTTTAACTTTTGTCGGGTTCCAAGACATGGGCCCCACAGGCGATTTTTGAGTTAAATTTCGAATTTTATTAAAAATTTNGGGGGGGGGGGGGAAATCCCCTTATGATTTGATATTGTTGTAACATTTTTATGATATGTGAGCGTCGTGTACGCGAGGTGACGAGTGCGTACGCTGGCTAAATTTGGAAATATTGGTTCTTGCTGAGTAGTCTTCTTTTAAATTCTTTAACTGAGTGGCTCTAGTATATGTAGTGATCATGTTTAGTCTAGTATCACATGTCTACGTGCCCTAACTCTTACTTGCAATATGTGCAACATGCTTAGCTGAATTACCTGCTTATTTGTTTTGATTTAAATCTTTAACTGTGAGATTCTTGCTGTAAATTCGTTGTTTCCTTCGGATATCTGTTGCATATTTACTTTGGGACTACGAGGCGGTTCCTCGAGAGATCCCCCTGTACTGCATATTTACTTTTGGGACTACGAGGCGGTTCCTCGGGAGATCCCCCAGTACTGCATATTTACTTTTGGGACTACGAAGTGGTTCCTTGGGAGATTCCCCTGCACTACATATTTATTTTGGGACTATGAGGTGGTACCTCAGGAGTGCCCCTATTGTTTATCTCTATTTGTTGTGTTGTTCACTTCTCAGTCATTTCGTTATATTATTATATCATCTGTCTTACTTTTCTATTATTTCCAATAGGGCCTAACCTGGCCTCGTCACTACTCTACCGATATTAGGCTTGGCACTTATTGGGTACAGTTGTAGTGTACTCATACTACGTTTCTGCACATCTTTTTATGCAAATCCATGAACTTCTTATCAGCCCAGATATCAGTGAGCTACCTGTGTGAGGAGACTTCAAGGTACATCTGCCAGCGTCCGCAGACCTCGGAGTCCCCCTCTATCCTTATCATGTTGTTTTCCTTATTTTAGTAGACTCTGATGTATAGAGACATCAATATTTCTCTTAGAAGCTTGTGACTTATTTCTACCGAGTTTTGGGAGATTGTAGTTCTTTGATTTGCAGTTTTCATTTATTACAACTATTGAGGTTTGA